TAGTCTTTAGTACTAAAATTAGAAAGTTGAATGAGCCCCATAATAACTGAGTATGTTGCTAGCTGGAGCCCTATAAAGAGTGTGAGGATGATTATTTTGGTATACTCTTAAACTTTGAGAGCCTATACTATAAATGAATTTATCTAGGTGATAGTCTAAACACTAAAACCTAGCACACGCAGAGTGAAATACATATTTACCAAAGAGGATGAAAGCTTTCTTTAACATGGAGAAAATTCCGAAAGAACGTAACAGGAGGGAAAAATCCTTCTAAATGGAATCCCAACCCAAACCAGAAAACTCAGACCAAAGGAAGGAGTTTAGTTGAAGAGAGAACTCACAAAGTGGGAACAAAGGCAACCTTGGAAGTGAATGGGCTCAGTGGGCCCAAGTATGGTCACTACACACCAGGGTCATTAATTTCTCCAGAATCTCCTCTGACCCTGCATTCTGACTATGTAATGTCAAAGTTAAATGAAAGGTGTCCAAGTTAAATAAAAGGTGAAGGTAAATCTAAAATACAGAAGGTTTTAATTGGGACTAAAAGGATTGCAATCCATGGACACACACAAAAGTGAAGGTGGCCTCTGATATGTGCAAAGAACAAAGCTAGGTTAGGGGTTTTACTAGAAAGGTCCACTCTATGGACTCTTGGTTCTGTTCTTTGAATCTCCTCCAACCCCATTTTTTTCCCATAAAAGTTAGCACACCTTTAAGTCTGAGTAATTTACTAACCTTGCTATCTGTTTAATGGTTAAGGGATCTATTTTGAAGTGTCTATGTCTCTTGTCAGTCTAAATGGTCAATGTTTTTACATAAATAATTTTCTTCAAAACTGCAGATTTACTATGAATCTTATTGGGATTTGCTCTACAAGATAGAGGCTACCAAACTGATCTTTTCAGAAATTAACTCACCCATACCTTACACTTCTGTTGAGAAGGCTGCGGGACAATACCATAAGCTTCTTACCAGCTCTACTGTTTGATCAAGTGTATGTGTTTGTCACATACTTTATACTTCAGAGGACTTTTGGTCTAACTGAATGGCATTCCAAAGTACCACCTCTAATCTTTCTGAAATAAAGTCAGAGAATTTTGTAAACATCTTTGTCTTCATCTTTTGGACATGTTTTCCTGACAGTGGTATGGATTCAATCTTTGCTTAAAAGTTATTTCTTAATTTTAGCATCATTTGCCATCTGATGACTTAGAATCTTGAAAAACATCAAGTCGATTATTTTAACAATTATTTTTTATACAGAGGAGACATTCAAGTAGGCATAAAAGACAAACCATTTGGAGTCTATAGAATCTTTTAATTAAAACTTTAAAAAAATAATTATTCAGTATCATTTTGTGTGATGCTTTCTGTTCTCTGATGTAAAAAGAAAAAGTATTTACTCTCATAGTAGTTACATTGGATGCAATAATAAAGGAATATATATATATATATATTTAGCAAATACAATTTAAAAAGTTAAGAATAATGCAGTAATGATTGATATTCTCTTTTTCAGCACAGGAACTAAGATAATAGATGTGATAGGGAATGAAAATTACACATAAAAGTAATATATGTCTATGTATAAATG